TCGTAGAGACAGATACCTATCTAGGTATAGGCATACACATGGAGACATCAGATAGACATACAGATAAAGATGCAGATATTACTCCCATTGTTTCTGTTCCCAAGAGCCCTGACTAATATACCCTGTGGTATCTCAGTGCTGATAAAGAAAGAGAGAAGACTGAAAGATGGGGAACTCCTTCATTAAAAAGACATATTTCTGGGCCACCCTGGTGGCGCAAGTGTTGATACGCAGCCTGTGAAGCTGTTCACAGCCTCTGCAGCACGAATTTGATGCCCGGCTGGACAGGGAGCAACCCACATGGTGCAGCAGACCTCTCCTGCCTAGCCTGCTGCTCCCCTCAGCAGTGTATTTCAGTCAACTGCCTGTTCTGTTCCCCACTCTGTCTCTGGTGAATCCTCTCACCTCCCTATGCCTCTGGCCTGTACCCCAGCTCTTGTATAAATAAATAAATCTTTAAAAAAAAGACATATTTCCGTCCATCTGCTGGGATTTTCTCCTTGCTAAAGTTGCTTGATCCACTCACTTTAATAGAATTTGATCTTGGACTTTAGACACTGGCATTACAGTGGGAGGAAACATCTAGGGAAAATCAGACCCCTGGCATTCCCTGTGTTGCTCCCCGGTAAATGAGCGGGACCGTCTCTGGGATCGAGCTATGACAACAGATCACATCGCAGAGACAGCGCTTGCAGATGTTGCCTCGGATGATGCCGGGAGCCTCTTATCTTCGTCACCTATTGAGTCAGTAGTTCTCAGGCAGGACTCCACTGGGGAGTCACCTAGGGCAGTGCCTCTGAATTTAATGTCCATGCAAATCACACAGGAGTTCTGGCAACTCACTGATTCTGACTCATGGGCCAGCTCCAATATTTTTCATTACCAAGAAATGCCCAAGCTGTGACCCACAGGTGAAACATTCAGTTGAAGAACAGATGCTGCTTTCAGAAGTAAAGATGCAGCCCATCCCCACAGATAACTTCAATCACAGTCTCTAAGAGGAGGCCTCTGCACCATTTTTTGAATGGTGATTCTGAAATAAAACAAGGACTCCATGGTTTCATGAAAGTCTAGCTTACGAGCTACTGTATGACCAACTTATACAACTTGTGAGAACATGCTACAGGGCAATTGCATTTATGACTGTTACTAGTAATAACAAGATTATTATTGATGAATATTCTTCAAAATATTTCTAGAATGTGCAAGTTCTTTGGAGGCAGAGAGGTGAGATGAGAGGAGTGTAGCTGAAAAACTCTCCAGAAATCATCACACACACTGGGACATCAAGAGCCTCAGGTTGGAAGGATCCCAGTGGACCCGCTCACTCACCCTCTGCCCAACTTACCCAGTGTGTCTCAGGGCAGCTCCAGGACCCTGACCCAAGGCCTGCTCCCCTTTATTCACTACTATGTGAGTAACAGCCTCTGAAGTCATCACCTGCATCTGCAGCATCCTTCTCACATCCCCCATTCCACACACCCCTGGGCATGAGGGACCCTGGATCCCACAGGAGTCCAGATCCTGGAGGAACTCATTAAAGGCAAAGCAATTACCCAGGACCTCTCTAGGACAAATTGTCACTGGGGCTATGAGGATTACAGTCACCCATCACACCTGACTATACTCTGGGTCAAGGTGGGGATGGAGAGAAGCTCATTTGTGGATGCTTGACCACTGCACGTTCAGGAGTGGACAAGAAGTAGTCCTGTGGGACTGGAGTCAACATTCTGGGACATTTTCTTTGGGAAGGAGGATGGGTGAAGAATTCATAAACACAAGCAAGGGCCAGACAGTGAATATCCCAAAATACTTTGTGTGGAGATGTTATCCTGTTGGGCAACAAGAAGCCATCAGTGGTCTTTGAACTGAGTACCACCATCAAAGACACATATATCAGAGAGAACACAGGTTGGCAGAATCTCACTACAACCCAATTCCCAGGGGAGAGAGAAACCTGCAGTTAACAAGGATCAGGTCTCTATGATGCAACCATATGCAGACATATAGAAAGGACCAGAGTAAGAGAAAAGGTAAACTCCCAGATCATGTTCAGTTCTTCCTGAGGGCAATATTGAAAGGAAGCCAGATGTATATCCAGCGGAGGGACATCTAGCTCCATACTTCTCTAGGAAATCCTTAATAGCACCCTGCCACCACCATCATCTCTACCACGGTCCACAAGCACCATGACTACCTAATTTCCAGCTCTCCTCACCCTGCAATCTATCTGAAAGCCAGAGTTAACATATATCACTCCATCTTATATTACCAATTCCACGTTTTCCTTGTCCACCATCTTAACTGGAGTTCTTTACATAGTAGTAGTACAATACCAACCCTCATTCTTAAAGAATTTGAATCCTCATTTGTGTCGCCTTTATTAACATTTATTATATGACATGAACATGGCACCTAAATAATCCCCAGAATTTCACACCTGGTCCTCCTCGCTCCACTTGTGTAGAATAACTCAATTTTCCCTGGCTAGCAATGACACTACCTCAGAACAGCAGTTCTGCTCTTTATCTGTTCACTTAAGGACCACAAAATGTCCATGCAGTAGCCTCCACTTCCAGTTCTGTGGAATTATTGTTAGATCCCCTCATGGCTTGCTTGAGAACTATATGAGATACTTAAGAACCAATTTAAGTTCTCTTGGCTCATCTCTTATTCTAGTCACAGCTTCAGTAAACAGATTTCACAGACTTTTGAAAGGCATTTTTTAAGTTGTTTTATTTTTTATTGAGTCAACAGTGGTTTACAACACTCTATAGATTTAGGGTATAGGATCAAAACTCCTTAGATAGATGCTACCATACTATTACTCAAGCACCAATAATCCATTGGACCCTCTTGCCATTTGCTACAGAGCCCCCACATTTGCCCTCTGGTAGCCTCAATTCTGCAGTCAATTTTTAGAGTTTCTTTTGGCTTAGCTGTGTCTGTTCCTTTGCTCTGTTTCTCTATATTCCACATGCAGTGAAATCATCTGATATGTGTCTTTCTCCTTCTGTTTGCTTCATTTAGCACCATCCCCTCCATTTCCTTCCATGTTGTCACAAACAGCAAGGTGAATTATATATGCATACCACCTCTTCTTTATCCACTCATCTGTCATTGGGCTCTTAAGTTGTTTTCATAATTTGGCTGTTGTGAATAGTGTTGTAATGAACAGAGAAGTGCATCTATCCCTTCAAATAAGTGTGCAAGGGCTTTTCACTTTGATGTAGTCCCATTTGTTTATTTTTGCTTTTGTTTTCCTTGTTGGAGTTGAGTTCCCAAAGACAATGTCTCAGAGATTTTTTGGCCTATTTGTCTTATATATTTTATGGTTTCCAGTCTCACATTCAAGTCGTTGAATCATTTTGAAGTAATTATTGTGTATGGTGTGAGACAGTGGTCTAGTTTCATTCTTTTGCATATGGCTGTTCAATTTCCCCAGCACCTTTTGCTGGAGACTTTCCTTTCTCCATTTATACTGATCACTCCCTTGTGGTAGTATGGACTTAATTCTAGGTCTCAAATCCATTGGTCTGTGTGTTTATTTTTATTTCAATACCATGCCATTTTGATTACCACAGTTTGTAAGAATGTTTAAGATCTATGAAACTTCTGTTCTTTATTTTGTCAAGATTATTTGATAAAATGGTGTCTTATGTAGATTCCATATATTTTCAACAATGTTTCCTCTGTTTCTTTGAAGAACTGCAACTTTGATAAGGATTGCACTGAATCTTTATATTGCTTAGGGCAAGAGGCCTTTTTAACATTACCTCAATCAAAATAATTTAACTAAAAGCAATATTTAAAAGATTTAAAAGATTTTCAATATTAGTGTCACAAGGATGTAAAGAAACCAGAATTCTAACAGACTGCTTATAAGTATATAAATTGGTATGATCACTTTGGAAATCTCTTTGATAATATTTACTATATTAGAATATAGGCATATTCTATGACCTGACAATTTTGCCCCATGTATATATATGCAATAAAAGACATATATGAAAATATTCATAGTAGCCTTATTTGTAATAATGGCTCAGAATTCAAAAGGAACAAACACACTACTCTATGAATGAATCTCAAAAAATTATTTTTGAGAGTCACAAAAAATACAAAAGAACATATATGATTCCTCTTTATATGAAGTACAAGAATAAGCAATGTAATCCATAGTGATAGAATTCAGATCAGTAAATTACAGTGTCAGGGAATGGATGGGTAATTGAGTGCATTTTTTAATCTTTAAAATGGCAATGATGCCCTTGCGGAATCATTACAAGAGTAGAGCAGGTAAAGGGTATAAAGTCTGCTGACAAATTCCAAATATCAAGCAGGAGAGTGACATAAGCTGTTAACCAGACTCTGGGTGCTACCCCAATAACTGATGGAGTAAACTTAGGTGCCCAGAGCTGAGTTAGCTCCCTAAGACACACTGAACTGCTGGAGCAATGTAAACAGACCGCTCACAGGCGGTTCAGGTGGGGCCTGAGAGCTAATGTAGACATAAAAATAAAACAGAAGAGATAAGGTTAAGAGATAGAATGATCTGATCCCTTACTCAGAGAGAGGTAAGAATATGTTCATTGTATTCAACAATGAAAAGTTCACTTGAGCAGAGGTAGCCAGGAAAGGGAGGGGTTTGAGTTTTAGTGTGCATTGACCAGGGAGAACAGATGACTATTTGAAGCAGAGTTTTGAATAAAAAAAAAAAAAAATGAAGACATGATAAATTAGCTGTGAAGCTAATGGAGTCAGAAATATCATTTAAAAGCTTTAAAACTATGCTTCCTCAGGGTCTCCCCGGAAGAACCAAAAGGAAGACCTTCCCAGCGTGTCACTAGGATCCTCTTTCTTGTTCAACTGTGCTCCTCCACTTCATCTTTTCTACTGACTGGATAATTATTTAGTATGCCACTTAACAGAAAGTTGCAAAGTAACTTAGTATCAGCGCATCTACTGAATAAACTATGTAAACATCCCAAGCCTTATTGTCATAGGTAAAAGGGAGTTTTCTTTTTGCTAAAGACTCTTCCCAAAGCCCCTTTCATGTCTCTGTTCCGCAGGCTGTAGATGAAGGGGTTCAGCATGGGGGTCACCACAGTGTACATCATAGCCATGACAGTCTCCTTAACAGTAGAATTATTAGATGAAGGGATTAAATACAGACCAATGACTGTCCCATAGAACAGCGACACCACAGAGAGGTGGGAGCCACAGGTGGAGAAGGCCTTGCGGATCCCCCTGACAGAAGGGACCTTCAGGATGGAGGACACGATTCGTCCATAGGACATGATGATGAGTAGGAATGGAACAACGAGGATGAGGCCCCCCATGATGAATATCACCAGCTCGTTAACTCGAGTGTCCGAGCAGGACAGCTTCAGCAGAGCAGACATGTCACAGAAAAAGTGGGGGATCACATTGTCTGCGCAAAAACACAACCTGGCCATGAGCAGAGTGTGTAACATGGCGTGGAAGGTGGTCACAACCCAGGACAGCACCACCAGGGACACACAGAGCCTGGGGCTCATGATGCTGGTGTAGTGCAGAGGGAAGCAGATGGCCACATAGCGGTCATAGGCCATGGCCACCAGGAGGAAGCTCTCCAGGTCTGCAAAAAACAGGAAGAAGTACATTTGGGTCAGACAGCCGGCGTAGGGGATGGAAGGGACCTGGCTCTGCATGTTCTGCAGTAACTTGGGCATCGTGACAGAGGAGAAGCAGAGGTCAGAGAAAGACAAATTGCTAAGAAACATATACATGGGCGTGTGGAGGTGAGAGTCCAAGCGGATGAGGACGATGATGAGAAGGTTCCCCAGGACGGTGGTTAGATACATGGCCAGGAACAGGGCATAGAACAGGTTCTGCTGCTCTGGCCTGATGGGCAGGCCCAGGAGGAGAAATTCTGATATGACAGTTTGATTTCTTCCTGTCATGCTCTGTTTCCAGTATCTTTAGGAGAAAATAGCAGAGTCCATTAAAAACCTGAATAAAAATGAACATATTTCTTTGATACATATTCTGTTTATCTGTAGTCATGTATTTCACCCTCATTTTCTGAGTCACCATTCTCTATAACCAGAAATACACCATATCACTCAATCAAAGACACTTTCTAAACTTATTTTCACTTCTCAGTAAATAGCATCGCAATTAGTCACAATAGCGGCTCCTCCCTCCCGTCACTCGTCACTCTAATCTCTTAGCTTCTATGCTATCACACTGGTTCTCCTAATACTGTCCACTTCATTCATTCTCAATAACTGTGATTGGTTTCTTCCCCAACCATTCTTATCTATTAGTGTTTCCTAGAGCTTTTTCCTAAACACCGTTCATTTATAATTCTACATCTGCATCCTTACCGGTGGCATCAATTACCATCAGACCCTCATGGGTAAACCTCTCTTACCTTCAGAATTGTGTAATCATTATCTCCCTGTCCCTCTCCCAATCCACTCCTCCAAGTCTCTCATCTCAATAAAAGAAATCACGTTCAAGTCAAAAACCTAAGAGTTTTCTTTCATCTCCTCCTTTCTCTATCAACCTCCTCTCAGTCACTATCAATATGCAATCAGTCAGGTCCTATAGATTCTGCCACTTAATTCTCTCTCTCATGCACTCATATCCCCAAACCCATGACCCACAGACATACCGTGTCTGTGCTACTCAAACAGCCTCTTAAATTCCTCTCCTGCCTCCATGCTCCCTTCTTTCAGTCTCTTCACCCTGGTATCCTACGATAAAAATCTGATCATCCTCTCCTTAAAGTCTTCTTCGACTACCAGTGCTCTTAAGAGAAAGGCAAAATTTCTTTTTTTTTTAATGTACCTTTACCAAATACAGAAAATATTGAAATCAGTTTTCAAATACAACAGGAATTTTCCAGCACAACCAAAAGATGAACTTCACTGTTGGTTACAAATTAGTATTACTTGCCAGGATACAGACATTCGAATTTTACTAGTACAGTTAATATTTTTCTATGATTTGAAGATCAAAGTTATTCAGTTAGTCAATACTTTAGTATTGCAGGTAAGATGTTCTAATGGGAATTCATTAAGATAAACCAATGTTAGCAGCTGTTAATCTGCTAAAGCTGGCATCAAATTCTAAACCATTTACATTTGATAATTGACAGTTATCATGAGATATATGAGTTTTTATATCACTTATTTGCATTTCCACTATGAACTGTTACTATATTACTTGCCCATTTATAAATCACAGCATCAAAAAGCCCAAAGGATCTAAGAATTGAAACATGAAGGAAGGTTCACAGAAACAGCTGCAGGAGAAGCTGGGCTATGAATTTCCCGTCTTCAACAACTTAGCAACCACAGCAATGCCTGGGCCCAGAGACTTTGAAGAGACACTAGAAACTTCAATCCCACCACA